ATGCTTGATGTGAAGTCAACTCTCATTTGAATGGGTTTTCTCTCTAAAGTTCATTTCTCAGTGGTGAGTTTCAAGACTTTTCCTTGTCTTTAGTTTTCAGAAATTGGACTATTATATAGGCTGGAGCGATAGCACAGCAGGTAGAGCACTCGCCTTCCATGTGGCCACCTGGGTTTGATTCCTCTGTCCCTCTTGGAGAGCCCAGCAAGCTACCAAGAGTATCCCGCCCGCACAGCAGAGCCTGGCAAGCTCCTCATGGCATACTCGATATGCCAAAAACAGTAACAACAAGTCTCACAATAGAGATGTTAGTGGTGCCTGCTCCAGCAAATCGATGAACAACAGGAGGACAGTGCTACTATAATGCAGGACTATTATATGTCTTGGCATAGATTTCTTAGGGTTTCTCCCTGTTTTACCCAATTACTTGGATCTGTAGATGCATTTTGTTTTGTCATATTAGGGACGTTTCTAGCCATCATTTTTGGGAATACTTTCTCAGTCCTACCAGCTTCAGAGAACCAATAACATAAATGTTCATTCTATTGTTAAACTATATCCCTGAGGCTCTACTATCCCTTTTCTCAGCCCTTTCCCCCCCTCTCTGTTGTTCCAAGTGTGTAATTCCTATTATTCTTTGTGTCATTTGGGGGCTTCTTTCTTCTTCAACTCTCCTCTCTTAAGGCCATTCATTAAAGCTTTCATTTCAGTTGTTACATTTTGTAAGACTATGTGAAATCTCCTTTTGGTTCTTCTTTGTATTTGCTTATATTTCCTTGCTGAAATGTCCTCTTTGTTTTTCTTTTTTATTTGTCTCCGACATGTTTATAATTGCTCATTTTTCTGATGCCAGCTTTAAAATCTTTATTAGATCATTCCAACCTCCTTACCACCTTGGTGTGGGTCTGTCATTGATTCTGTTTTCTCCTTCCGTGTGAGAACTCATTGGTTCTCAATATGATGAATGATCTTTAACTAGAATTCTGGGAAGCATGGAAATGTGGTCCTATTGTAAAAGACTACATCTTACATACATCTGTGTTTTAACAAATGCCCCCCTGACACTGCACCAGTGAAATGAGGCCCTACTAACTCAGTGTCGCCAACTTCACCTTGGGGTGAATTTCCTTCACAGGACTGCGAGTTCCAACTCCTTAGGTGTTCGTCCAGCCCACCCTCAATGGGAGCAGGGGGGTAACCTCATTAATACTCTCCTGGGCTTCCACTGTAGAGGGAGACCTTGTTACTACTTGGGAGGGGGGAAGTGTTTGTGTCCACTAACATTTCCAGTTGAGCTTCTCCAGAATCCAGTCTGGGATGAATGAGGCAAAGAGAAAACATGGAAGTTCATCACCCCATTATTTCTCTGATGGGCAGGTCCTGAGGTCCCTAATCCTTGAGCCTTCTCTCCTCTTTCAGTCTTCTTATTGTACAATGACGTTTTGAGGTCCAGGGCTTTGAATTTACTCAGCAAAAAAAAAAATTAGAGAACTGTACCTTGACTCGACCCATCTTCCTTGACCTCCTTTGAGGAAATTCGTCCTGCTCGATTTCTTTCCCTGTGCCAGGCAGTCAGCAGGGAGTGATGCTGAGGGTGGTATGGGGGTCTCATGGATAAAGTCTCTTCTTCTCCTTCTCCTTCTCCTTCTCCTTCTCCTTCTCCTTCTCCTCCTCCTCCTCCTCCTCCTCCTCCTCCCTCTCCCCCTCTCCTCCTCCTCCTCCTCCTCCTCCCTCTCCCCCTCTCCTCCTCCTCCTCCTCCTCCTCCTCTTCCCTCTCCCCCTCCCCCTCTCCTCCTCCTCCTCCTCCTCCTCCTCTTCCTTCTCCCCCTCCCCCTCTCCTCCTCCTCCTCCTCCTCCTCCTCTTTTTCCTCCTCATCCTCCTCTTCATTTTGGGGTCACACCCAGAGACGCTCAAGGCTTATTCCTGGTTCTGCTCTCAGGGCTCATTCCCGGTGGGTCTCTGAGGACCATATAGGCTACCAGGAATAGAACCCAAGTCAGCCACGTGTAAAGCACTGTATTATCGCTCTAGCAATCTGCGTGGGTTTGCCTGAGAGCTGGTCTTTCGATACTTACAGCAGAAGCCTGATACAGTGGGATGGCTTTAGTCTCTAGACTTGCCTATCCAAGAATACTGCTCAGCTGTTATCGACTCCTTCCTGCTGCCTCTGCTCTTTCTGCAACCCCGGGGGGAAAACTGCTGAGGCCTCTAGGCTCATGCTCTGCTCTGATCTCGTCTCTTCCTGCCCATGACCACAGTGGTCACTAACCAATAGATACTTGATACTTTCAGGCTCACCCATGCCTTTTCTTAGCAGGCTGGCAGTCTTGGATCTGCTTGTCTTGAGTCATTAGTATTTCCTGGTGTGCTGTTGTGTGTGTGTATGTGTGTGTATGTGTGTGTGTGTGTGTGTGTGTGTGTGTGTGTTGGTGTGGTGGTGGACACAGTTTCCCTGACACGGAATCTAACCACTGACCATGGATCTTTGAGGGTTATCTGACTCCTAATACACAATTCCCTCCCCCACCATGGCCTCTTTACTTCTTTTCAGCAGGTGCCTCTTAGCCCCCCATAGAGGACTGAGAGGTGGGGGTGTGGCCAGGGAGGGTGAAATCTGTCACCGGGGACCTTCTCTTGCTTCCCCTTTTGGTCTCAGATTTCAGCAGTGAACCTGAAGAGAGAAGACACACAGAGAGAGGTAAAAACAATTTTGTTTTTCTTCCCATTCAGTTTGAGCAGCTGCTGTGTAGAGGGGCCCACTCGGAGGGGCTGAGAGCTCAGTGGGGAGGCCACTTTCTCTTATGCCTGTGGGAACCCCTCTCTCCGAGCATGCCCCCTCCAGCCTTGGGGAGGCTCCTAAGAGTAGGGTGGGGACCTCAAAGCCTAGGAGGGGATAATAGACCCAAAGGTCAATTCTGAGGTCCCAAGCGGCCCCTGAGAGCTGTGAGGAGACCAGAGATCTGCAATGAAGGTCTTGTCCGGGGCCTTGGTGCATGCCCAAACTCTCCGTTTCATGCCGCCTCAGCATCACTCTCCGGGTCTAGGCCCAGGGCCCCACTTCTTGTGCTTGTTGCTCCTTGGGGTGGGCACGCAGCCCTCTCCGGAGAAGTGTTTTCTCCCACTTGCCCTGGCCTCACCGAGTCGCCAGTGAGGGTGTGCTCAGTGGCAGCGGGGTCAAGAGGCTGGACCCCAGAGGGGCCTAAAGAATGTCCTTCATGACTCAGGAATGATTGGGGAATGATGCTCAGGAATGACTCCTGACAAGATTGATACTGTAGTAGGGAGGGCATTTGCCTTGAACACAGCTGACCCGGTTCCATCCCTGGCATCTCATATGGTCCCTGAACACTGTCAGGAGTAATTCCTGAGTTCAGAGCCAGGAGAAACCCCTGGGCATCTCTGGTATTCACCCTCACTGCCTCCACTTCCTGCTCAACAAATTTAAAAAAGAATGCCCTTCAGAAGCCTTCCTGTACACAGCTCTGCCTACCCGTCACTGGGGTGCACACCCAGCAGCTTTTGGTGAGAGCCACACAGCGTGAGGAATAAATAGCCAGAGTGGACGGAAAAGAACGCTTGAGAAGTATGGGGTACTAGCGGGAGCGGTGCAGGGCTGTGCTGAGGCAGGAGACACACTCTGTGGATGCATCCTGCTTGCTCCCCAGGGACCAGCACTGAGGGGGCAGGCATGCAAATTGGGTGCTTAAATCTAACTCCTTTAGTGGGGTGTAAAAGTCTAAATAGTTGGCGAGATCTTTGGGGGAGGGATGAGAGAGCAAGAGAGCGAGAAAGTGAGAAAGAGAGGCAAACATGCAGGGGGAGTGGGGTGCAAATGAGTGTTCTTTGGACTATTTTTTAGCCCTCAAACACATCCTGTTTTACCAGTACTGTGAATTTTTTGAGGGACCTCTCACAGGGTGCTCAGGGGCTCGGGGTCCCTCTGAGTGATTCTTGGCCAGCTGGACCTGTGGTTCAGAGTGAGGGTCCATGGATGCAGTGTTACTCAGGCCTACTCAGCACCCTCAGGGACTGGGCATCGCCTGAGCCACCCTAGCAGTGCTCGGGGATGCTTGGGAGATTGTGTTCCAGGAATCAAACCAGGTCAGCCACCATAAGGCAAGCACCTTAACCCTGCCACTATCACTCTGGCCTTGTGTTTATTTTTTTAAGTAGGACTTTTCTCTGATTTCTCTCTCCTTTTTTGGTGTGTGTGTGTGGGGGGGGCACACCAGCAATGCTCAGGGGTTACTCCTGGCTCTGTACTCAGGAATGGTCGGGGATTGAACCCAGGTTGATCATGTGCAAGGCAAATGCCCTACTTGCTATACTGTTGCTCCAGCCTCTCTCTGATTTCTCATTTTTCCAAAACCAGTGGAACATTAGGCAACGCTAAGGCCACATTTCCAACTGAAGATAATCTGCTAGAACTGAGTTGGGCTTCATCTTTATACAAGGTAGGACCTTACCCAACCCCTGGGGTATCTGAGTGGCCCCTTGGACCACATGCTCCTAAGCCCTCCCAGACCCTTTTAATGCTCTCCTGGCATCACAATTTACCACTGATTTTGGAGCTCCTCTCCTGCCCTCCACCCCTGCCCCTGGGCTTGAAAATCAAGATTTGACTGTGTCTTCTCCTATGTAAACCCTTCCCAGTTGCCCCACACTGAGCTCCAAGTTACTCAGGGCCTAGGAGTTGAGTTGCTTTAGTGTTTGGTGCCTCTCTTTGATGCCACTCAACAATGGAGAGCTGGTGGGAAGAGCCTGTGCAAAATAACGGGTGGCTGTGTGGGGGGAGAGAGGCCCGCCTGACAGGGCTGGTAGGAGAGACACAGCACACCAGAGGAGCATCTGGAATGTCACATTTCCACCTTACAATCCTCCCGGAACCAAGGCAAAGAGGCCAGGCTCAGTGGTGAATAGGGAAAGCAGTCTGGGAGAAGGAAGTGACCAAGTGGCTCACCGACAAACTCTTCCCAGCTCAGACTTGGCCCCGGACGGCATGCACCTGCTTGGCCCCTCGCTCCTGCTCCTCGGTAAGGGTCACGCCTTGGCTGGGGTCGGGCTCTGGGATAACCACAAGAACTGGAACAGTGAAGAGTCAATGTGGGGTTGATTGGGGCCAGGCCAGGTTACACTGAGTCTAGATATTCCCTTTCTGCCTCTTTAGAGGTGCTTTACTCTCCTGAAAGCTCTATGTCCCCCCCACCAATCATGCTTTCTGATCACTTTGGTGGCTTCCAGAATACGTGGCTTTCTCTGATTCAACCCAATGGACAGTCACTCACCCACCAGTGCTCTACGCCTGGGAGGGGGCCTGCGTCTGGATCCCCTGCACCTACAAGATCCCAGGAAATGGAATAAAGCTGGAAAATCTGACTGTGTACCACAACTACGTGTATAATACGAGCATAAAGGACTTCACGGGGACCGTCCTCTATAATACCATGGAGATCTCTAAGAAATTACAGACCCAGGAGTTTCCTGCTAGCGACAAGCGAGTCCAGTTCCTGGGTGACAACAGATCCAACTGCACCCTACGCATCCACCCTGTGAGTGTCCATGACAGTGGCCTGCTGGGGCTGAGGATGATGGCAAAAGTGGACAAATGGATGGAGAATGTCACTCTCAACATCTCCAGTAAGGTTCTGGGCTGGGGGTCCTTGGAACTCCTCTCCTCCCCTCCACCCTCAGGCAGGGCCAGGAGGGAGGGAGCACCTGACTCCTGGGATGGGTGGGGTGTAGATCCCTACAGAGACCAGGTGAGGGTCCTTTGAGTGGCAAAATGGTACCTGAATCCTGGGCACTCTCTCCTGAGGCTCTCAGAAGTCCCTCAGTCACTGTTCACTCATGAGTCTCCAAGGTGGCATGGGTCTCCAAGAAAGATGGAAGGCTGGGCAATCCAGGGGCATCTCCCCATGTGCTCACGATGGGGCTTATTCTCATTTGCCCTTCATGGCTAAATTACACCTGTGTTTGTGGGGATCAGGGTCTGGGACCTTGTGGGGATCAGGGTCTGAGCCCAGGGGGTATTCCCACTCACTGCCCAGTCTCTGTCTTTTTGCCCAGTGTTCTCAGCAGCCCGGGTTTGGTGAGTAAAACTTGCAACCTGGTGACAGGAGGAACTGGGCACAGCCTCCTCCCGTTGGAGGTGTGCCCAAACAATGCTGGCTTGATGGCTGCCTGGTTGAGACACTAAACAACACAGGTGGTTATCGCCCTGTCATTGTCATCCTAGCTGAAAAATGTCAACCGCAAGGTCACAGAGGGGTGCTGAGAAAACAAATGCCAGGAAGTGAAAAAGAAATGGACAGAACATAGGAAAGTCAGCTTCTATAGAGGCTCACCCTTCACGAAACTCTTCTCCTTTGAGCCTAAGTGATGCAAAGCAGTGAAAGGAGGGGTTGGCCAGGATTCACGAAGGTTTGGGGCTGGGGTACTCAATCTAAGGTCTGGGTGCTGGTTGCTCGAAGCCAATACTCCAGAGACAGGAGTTAGTGCAAGAAAGATAGGCTTATTCAGGCCAGAACCCGAGAAGATGGGGGAGGGCCTGTCTCCCTCAACCCTCTGGTTTTTAGGCTAGGTTTTTCAAGGGCTTGTGGAAGAAGGATGCAAAAAGTAGGAAGCAAGGGCACAGCCCTGCAGCTCTTGGAGCCACGTCTCCGGACATGCCAGCCTGCCCTTTGCCAAATTCCCCAGACCACCCTGACCCAGCCCATGCTGAGTCACGACAGCCTCCTGTGGCCTATGTGACGTCATCAGTGGGAGCAACTGCTGGCTGCTCTTTCCCTCCGTCTGTGATTGGCTCCTCTACTCTTTCCTGCCATCTGTGATTGGCTCCTCTGTTCTTCCATCTGTGATTGGTTCCTCTGCTCTTTCCCTCCCTCTGTGATTGGCTCTTCTGCTCTTTTCCTCCCTCTGTGATTGGCTCCTCTGCTCTTTCCCTCCAACTGTGATTGGCTCCGAGTTTAACACTTAGCAGCTGATAGAAGCAGCTCTGGACATTAGGGGAAAGGCCGAAGACAGGGGTGAGTGAAAGTTCAACAAGTTCCCAGGAGAGCGGGACTGGGGGTTACTAGTGCTTCTCATGGACGAAGGTGTCGCCCCCTTTCCTGGCCTCCCGGGCCTCCAGCATGCTTGCCCCATGCCATCCACTCTTTGCAGAAATGGCTCCTCCGCCTTCCATTGATCTCCCTTTGGAAATCCGTGAGTCCCAGACGGCCATCCTGACCTGCTCGCTGAACACAGCCTGCTTTGGCTACCAGATAGGACTGCAGTGGTCCCTGGAGGGGTCAGTCATCAACTCCACAATTCTGAACCCCACTAGCGTTGTCACCCAGAGCCAGCTGACATTCCAGCCAGAGTGGACGCATCACGGCAGGACGGTTACCTGCCAGCTCTGGGATCACGAGGAGGGCCGGCTGCTGTCGGAGGCATCTGCAGAGCTGAATGTGAAGTGTGAGTCTCCCGCACTGGCTGCTGGGCAGGCCCTAGCTGCCCTGACCAAACCCAATCCTCCCCCTCCCCCCCCCCCCACCCCTTAGTGCTATGGCCTGATAGAGGAAAAGAATTCAACCCTTGCTCAGACTGAAGGCACCAACTGGTTAGGGGGTTGTGCTGCCCTGGGTGGTTTCCTATCATTAGTTTTGCCTCATTCATTTAATGAATATTGACCCCAAACCCACTAGATGCCAGGACCTAGTGGGGCCGCCAGGGATGGAGAGCAAAGTTCTTATGAGAAAGTCCCATGGGGGTAACAAACAACACAGGCTGTGACATCTGTCCTGAGAAAAGATGACGGGGACAGAGATAGCACAGTGGTTAGGGAAGTGCTAGCATGCACTTGACCCAGGTTCAATTCCTGGTACCACAAGGTCCACTGGGCATTGCCGGGTATAGCCCTGAGGGCCCCGGGGAGTCCCCAGCTCTGGTGCAGTACCATAATCCCAGGCCATTGGCCTTGACCTGCTTGCCTGACTGACTGAGAATTGCCCGTGGGGCCCCAGATCTCGTGAGCACTGCTCACCCCCCTCCCAATTAAAATAAAGGTGAAGCTGGGTTGGGGAGGGGGAAACAGGGAGTGGGGAGTCTAGTGGGGCGGGCAGATATCTGGGAGAGAGGGAAGAGCTAGGACAGTCCTGGAGTAGGGAAGTGGGGAGCTTGGCGTGTGCAGGGTTGGGGAGGAATGTGGGAGGAAGAGTCAGGGGTGGGAGGGGAGCTACACCAGGGGTCTTTGGAATACATGGCTCATAGGACGAGAGGTGAAATGTGCAGTGTTAGGAGCTGCTGGGGGTGGGTTAGACTGGGGTGGGGGTGGGGGTGAGGCATGGTAACCCTCAGGGGCTGTGACAGTCATGGAGCACCCTGCTGGACAAAGGTGACCATTGTGCTAGCAGGCCCCTGCTCTATACAGATAAAAACGTGAAGTTTCTCACCCGAGGCTTTTCACCTCTGAGAATTCCCTGTCATGCCCCTAACACACACTCTCGACCCCTCCAGACAAACCTAAGTTGCACATCAAGGTCGATCCCCAAAACGCCGTGGTCACAGAGGGGATGCATGTGACCATGACATGCCAGATCAATAGCAGCAACCCCAACTACGAAACGTTCGTCTGGCTCAAGAATGGGGAGCCGCTGGATAAGCAAGATGGGCTGAAGAAAGAGGAGAGGCTCACCCTCACTCTGTCCATGGTGACCAAGGACATGATCGGGGAGTACCAATGCCAAGCCCAAAATGCCTTGGGCATCGGAATGTCGGAAAAAGTGAACCTCCAAGTATACTGTGAGCTCCTGCATGCTGGGCGGGTGTGGCTGGGCACTCATGGGCACGAGACCAAGGCCCATGAGACACGAGCCATGGCAGTTCTCCTCACCCCTCATCCCCTTGCCTCTGCTCCTTTTCCTAGATCCTCCAGAACCTTCCAAGGTTGAAATCTCCCCTTCACTCGTTAAGGAGGGAAGCCCAGTCCTACTGAAATGTCAGTCATCAGCCAACCCTCCTCCGACCAAGTACAGCTGGTTTCACAACGGTCGAGCTCTGTCAGAAGGGAGCCAGAAGCTCCAGATCAAAAACGCCCTCCTCAGCCACTCTGGCTCTTACTCTTGTGAGGCAGAAAATATTCTTGGTCATGGGTTGATGGGCCAGGAAGCTCAGCTGGATGTGCAGTGTGAGTGCTCCCCGCTGGCTTCTGGAGGGAGCAGGGAAGCAGATCGGGGCAGGGCAGGGGCTTGCTGGGGGCCTGAATGGACAGTGGGCAGGGCAGGGCTGGCTGTGCTCATGGGGCACATAAGCGTCGCTCTTGTTCCTGACGGTTTTCTCAGCCCTGGGACAGGGCCTGGCTCGTGGTAGAGGCTTGGTGGATGTTTGTTGAATGAATGAAACTTCAGGGGTCTAAGAAAGACCGGGAGACTTGGCCTCCCTGGCCATGGCTAAGTCTCAGAAGGGGTTCTGATATTTTGTTTTCTAGGAGCACTGACATGGAAGGTCCGTTTCTGCTCCATGTTTGGCCCCATTTAACACAAGCACCTTTTTTTTTTCTTTTTGGATTACACCCAGCAATGCACAGGGATTACTCCTGGCTCTGCACCCAGGAATTACTCGGGGAACATATGGGATGCTGGGAATCGAACCCAGGTTGGCCACATGCAAGGCAAATGCCCTACCCGCTGTGCTATCGCTCCAGCCCCTACACAAGCACTCCTGTCACTGGGTTGAGCCCAGGACAAACAGAGGCCACTGGTTTCTTTCTGGGATCTGAAGTGTCACAGTCTGGGTCAGTCACAATGATTACACGAGGTTAGGGACTCTTGGCCCCATTTGAAATGGGTAAACTAAGGTTTGGGGTTCGGGTCACAGGGCTCCAGGCGGCAGGCTCTGAGAACAAACAGCACCCTCTGCTCAGTGCTGTGCTTGAAACCACTGTCTTGCTTGTAGCCACAGCCCAATAGCGGGGGCCAGGCTGTCCCCACACAGATGGCAGGGGAGGCGCCAGTTGCCTTTGCTTCCTGGAGGGCCCATGTGAGCGCAGGGGGCAGTTACAGGGAAGGAGAAAGCAGGGAGGAAGAGGCGTGCGACCACCGACCGTCATCACTATTTCCACCTCCCCCACTTTCTCCCAGATCCCCCCAAGGAGGTGATGGCAGTGATTCAGACTTCCTCGTGGATTCGAGAAGGAGATGACGTGACTCTGTGGTGCAAGTTCAATTCCAGCAACCCCGAGGTGACCCGCTATGAATGGGAACCCCGAGGCCCCCAGGGGGCTTCCGAGATGCTGACGATCCCGAACATTGCCTGGGACGCCAAGCCGGTGACCTGTGCAGCCTGTAACCAGTGGTGTTCGTGGGCCCCTGTGGTCAACCTGCATGTTCAGTGTGAGCACCCCGGGTGGGGGTGCAGGAGGCAGCCCTCTGGGGGCTCTCAGAATGAGGCTGGGACCCGAATCTTGGCCGAGAATGAGGGATGAGAAGGTGGCTGGAGGGACAAGGTGAGAGGGAGTTGTGGGTGCAGGAAGAAAAGAAGGGACCCTAGAGGTGAGTCCAAGGCCCTCTCTCCGCAGATGCCCCCCGAGATGTCACGGTGCTGCTCAGCTCCAGTTCCATGGTGCATTCCGGGCAGCACCTCCTGCTGAGCTGCAACTACTCCAGCAGCCGCCCGGCAGCCGTGCGCATCCGCTGGAGGAAGGACGGGGTCCTGCTGCAGGAGGGCCAGGCGCTGCACTTCAATGCCATCATGCCGGAAGATGCCGGAACGTACCACTGCGAGGTCAACAACTCCATCGGCCAGACCCAGTCTGAGGCGCAGGTGGTCTCTGTGCTGTGTGAGTGAGGTGCCCGGGGAAACGGCGTGGCTGGTTAGAGGGCTGGGGCACCATCTGTGTTCTGATCCCGGTTCTTCCTGCAGATGCGCCCCGGAGGCTGCGCGTGACCTTCAGCCCACAGGGTGGTGTGGTGGAGGGGACGAAGGCCCTGCTCATTTGTGAGAGCGATGCCAACCCCCCCATCAAGTCCTACTCCTGGTTCGACGGGAACAACCAGGAACTGCACCACTACGGGCAGACACTGAGACTGGATCCAGTGAAGATCCAGCACACAGGAACCTACTGGTGCCGGGGGTCCAACGGGCTGGGCGTGGGCCAGTCACCCCCCACTCTCCTCACGGTCTACTGTAAGCACCCCTAGCCTTGGCTGCTCCTTCCATCCCACGGCTGTTTCTCTTTCTGGACCCTTGGGCCAGCTTTCCTGCCTGCTGCTGCACCCCCCTCCCCCCACTTGAGAGCACGGGGCTCTCTGCCTCCCTCTCAGCTAAGCTGGCTTTGCACCATCTCCTGAGATTCTAGCGATTTGCACAAAAGACAAAACAAGTCAATGGTAAAATAGAAAACACACAGATATGCCATGTAATAAACCATGTCAAGGCAGGGCAGTTCCCTTCAGCTCCCCCTTCCTGGGGCCTGGTGGCGACTGGCCACCCTTTCTGCAGTCTTCAGTGGCTGCCGTTCAAGGGTGGACCTCTCAGGTCCTCTTTGCCAAGCGAATGGTGGGACATCTTGCCCAGAATAGGTTTTTTATTTTTATTTTATTTTTTGGAGGCACTGGGATTTGGGTCACACCTGGCAGTGCTCCTGGATTATTCCTGGCTCTACGTTCAGGGATCACTCCTAGTGGTATTTAGGGGACCATATGGGATGCCGAGGATGGAACCCAGGTCAGCCACGTGCAAGGCAAACACCCTACCCGCTGTGCTATTGTTTTGTAGACCCCTCACCCCTGCCCCCAGCGTTCTTTTTCTCCATGTAAGAATGCTACACAGACACGCCCTCATCTGCAGACAGCTGAGTCCACAAACCTGGGCAAGATTTTCAATGTTTTATGGTTTTTTTTTTTATATTAATGCTTGCAGACATGTCTTTTATTTTCTTTACACTTTATTTTAACTTTCCAAACAATGTTCCGGGGGCTCCGAGTCACCCCCAGCGATACTTGGCCAACAGTGCTCAGCCTGGTGGGCAGTGCTGGGGGCCTGCAGGCCATGCCCAGTGGTCCTGGTGGGGGGGCGGACACTAGTGTCAGCAGTTGAACTCAGGCCCCCGTGAATGCAAAGCACGAGCTCTCGTCCCCTCCCCTGGAGCCAGAGTTTTCAATTTTGAGGATCAATTGTTCGGTTTGCTTTGGGGGCTGGAGTGATAGCACAGTGGTAGGGCGTTTGCCTTGCATGCAGCCGGCCTGGTCGACCCGGTTTCAATTCCTCTGCCCCTCTTGGAGAGCCCGGCTAGCTACCGGAGTATCTCGACAGCACGGCAAAGCCTGGCAAGTTCCCCATGACATATTCGATATGCCAAACACAGTAACAAGTCTCACAATGGAGACATTACTGGGCCCACTGGAGCAAATCAATGAACAATGGGAGGACAGTGCTACAGTGCTTTGGGGGCCATACTTGGAGGTGGTCAGGGCTTGGTTGCTGGCTCTGTGCTCAGGTATCACTCCTGGCAGGACTTGAGTTATCAGGGATTGAATCTGGTCGGCCAAGGGCAAGACAAGTGCCTTCTCTGCTGTACTATCACTCCCGCCCCTGAGGGTCAATTTTGAGCCCCCCCCCCCCATCCCTGCAGAGTTAACACCAAGGGGGCAGCCTGGGAAGGTTCTTTAGAAATGTAAACTGGGGGGTTTTCTTGGCAGCTTCCCCACACCTGCCTTGTCCTCCAGGGCTGATCATGCCCCGTGCCCAGGCCAGTGCCCACAGGAGGCCAGCAGCAGCCCCTTGCTCTGGACTTCCTGTGAGGGTTGTTTAGGGTGGACCCCGACCCACACTTGCTGGGTCCCAAGACGAGGGGCTTCCCTCCTCCTAGGAGGGGGTGGGGTGGGAGGGACGCAACTCCCCATCTCCTGCTCCCTGGTGCAGGGAAAAAGAAATATTGAAGTGTCGCAGGCCCAAGGACAGCAGCCGTGCAGGGACAAGTTCGGTGCTGGCCTGAACCCCCCGGTAGGGGCCAGTAGCTGACAGCTCCCCATTTCCCCACCAGACAGTTCAGAGACCATTATCAGGCGAACGGCCCTGGGGCTAGCAGTGAGCCTGACCATCCTCTTCCTGATCATCTGTGGAGTCAGGCTCCATCTAAGGTGAGCCCCCTATACTCCGCCCACTCCCCCAGCCTCAGCTCCTCACTCCAAGGGGCGCCTGGCCTTGTGCCTCACGCCTCACCCAGTGACTCTTTATTTCTTAAGCCGAAAGAGGATTCAGAGCCAACAGGACCTGCAGGAAAACTCCAGTGGGCGGAGCTTCTTTGTGAGGAATAAAAAGGTGGGAAGGGAGGAAGAGGAACCGCAAGCCAGCTGGGCCTCAGTCAAGGAGCTCAGAGAAGGGGCTGGTGACTGGGCATCCCTGGGGAGTGGGGTGGAGAGACCTCAGCCCCCCACAATCTGTCTACAGTTTCCCAGGTCCCTGCAGGCATCCACTCGGCCCTAGTTCTCCCCCCTCACCCCCGACCGTGCACCAACTTGCCTCCTGGGTTGGCCTGGGGAGTCCTTGACACCACAGGGTCCAAACAACACCACGCCCTTGGCCAGTTGGCTGAGAATCACGAGGCAGAGGGGGCGCACATTTCGGAGCACTGCTTAGGAGACCCCCAGATTAATTTTTAAGGAGGTCCACTGGGGACGCTGGGGTGTCAAAGGTGTTGGAGGAAGACAGTGGTGTGGGGAGGAGGGTGAGGGCAGAAACCCTGTCTCCCTCCACCAGGTCAGAGGGCGTCCCCTAGTTGAGGGCCCCCCTTTCCAGGGCTGTTACAATCCGGTGATGGAGGATGCCACCAGCTATGCCATCTTGAGTTTTCCTGACACCCCAAGGTGGGTATGGAAGGGGTACTGAGGGCAGTGGGATCTATTCCCCTATAATTTCTTGGTGCCATCCCTCCCAGGGGCCTGGGGAAGTTAGGGTGCTGGGGACTGGCTGCTTGGAGGGCTCATACCCTGCTTCTGGCCCCTGTTGTCTCACTGGCTCCTGAGCTCCTGTGGGGAGCAGAGCGGGTGCTCTTGGGCCGAGGGGGGGCTAGAGGAGACTCCATGTGTCGCTCCCCCCACCCCCGCGGGCCCTCTCTTACCCTGTCTCAGAAACCAAGCGACCTCTGGGGCACAGCGGCCTTCCCCGCACTGGGATGACACGGTCACCTATTCGGTGGTGCAGAAGCAGAAGCAGAAGCGTCCAATGGTGAGAAGCAGGGTGGGCTGCGGGGTGGGGGGGCGTGGCGGAGGGGCAGCTGGGCAGGGGTGGGGATGGTAGGGGGGGTGGCCGGGAGTCAGGTGTAGTCCCGGGCGCCCGGTTGGGAGCAGCTCTGCTGGGAGGGTTGGGGCCACGGACGCCTGAGCTGGCCACCACGTGCTTTTCTAGGGCGACTATGAGAACCTGGCTCCAGAAACTCCGGAAGACGAGGGGATCCACTACTCAGAGCTGGTTCAGTTTGGGCGCGGGGTGCGCTCTCCAGCCCCTGACCCTGTGGAATACGTGACACTCAAGAACTGATGCGATAGGGTGGCTGAGCTGGGAGCCAGCCCAGATGTTGCCACTGGACTGCTGGGTCACAGGATGCCTCCTCCCCTCCCCTCCTCCACCCGGGTCCCACACCCAGTTATACCTTCTGGGTAGAGAGAGCTGAGACCCACCCAGTGGCTGTGTTCCTTCTCGATACTGGCCACCCAAAGGCCTGCCCCTTGTCCTCCCTGCCCAGGATGTACTAAGGACCCAGCGTGTACAAGAGCCCTACATGACACCCCCCTCCCCGCTACCCTCAACCCCCCCCAATCGACTGTCCCCCCCCACTTCTCACTAATCATAGGTCCCCAAGATGCCCCCAGGGCAAAACCCAGGTGTAAGAGGGACCCAAGCAGGGGAAGGAAGTGGGAGTCTGCACTCATTTCTGGGCACTCCAGACACACAGTCCCGGGAGGGGCCCCCCAGCCCCCAGTGCTCTCGTGGTCTAACACAACAGTGCACCCCCAGTACGGGCCAACACACAGCAGTGCTGCACAATAAAGGTGCCTGGTACCCCGCAAGACCAGCCAAGTCATTCTGTAGCGTCAGACCAGGTGCGAGGATTGGAGTGGGCAGTGCAGGGCTGGGGTGGGGGAGGGTCCCCCCACAATCCCCCCAGTAGGGTGGATGTTCAGGCTCTGAGGTACCTAAGGCTGGGCCATGACTCCTGTCCCCCACCTGCCCAGTGGCCTTGGGCCAAGTCCACTGTCTTCTCTGAGTCTCAGTTTCTATAGCTGTGATATGGGGAAACTGTCACCTTTCCCAAGGGAATTTCAGGTTGGGAGTGAGTTGCCTTCACAACTTCCACAAGGGCCTCCAGGTGAGAAGTGAGGTACCCTCACACCTTCCAGAGGGATCTTCAGGTAGGAAGTGAGATGCGCTCCCATTATAAGTCCCAGAAGACCTTAACAGGGCTAGTCCCGACAGGCTGAACGCTGCCTGATTTACATTCGCTGCAACAGCCCTGGAGAAAAGCCCCTGATGCTTCTGCCTTCTCCCTCATCCCTCCAGTGTCCCTCATTGGGCCTCCTCTCTGGGGGTCCTCCCAACCACTGCCCCCCTCTCCTGTCCACAGACTGGAGACCATTCCTGGGGAATGGGCTGTCCCTGGATCTGTGGCAGAGTCAGGGTCCAACCCCCACTTCTGCTGTGAGGACACTGTTAGTCCTTCTGCAGGTAGGGGAGAGCTTAAGAAATCTGCACGTGACTAACGGAGGGTAGCAGGGGTGTAGGGGGTCTGTGTCCCCAGCACAGGACCAGCTGTTGGGGTGCAACAGAGCTATAGCACTGTAGCACTGTCCTCCCGTTGTTCATCTGTTTGCTCAAGCGGACTCAGTAACGTCTCCATTATGAGACTTCTTGTTACTGTGTTTGGCATATCGAATATGTCACGGGTAGCTTGCCAAGCTTTGCTGTGCGGGCGAGATACTCTCAGTAGCTTGCTGGGCTCTGCAAGAAGGGCAGAGGAATTGAACCCAGCTCAGACAAGCCAGCCTCAAGCAAGGCAAACGCCCTACTGCTGTGCTATCGCTCCAGACCAACAGAGCTAAGGCAGATCGAATTTGGGAGACCATGAGTCCAAGACTCTAGGGCATGACTTGCTGGAGGGAGCCCAGAGGCTGAAGTTTGGCACAGTTCTCATCGGCCAATGGGCCCTTCCCCTCCTGTCCGTGAGCCTGACTGTGGCCCTCAGTCTGTTGTCCTGGTGGCCGTCACAGGCCCCCGAAGATGGATGCTAGGGCCCAGGCTGCCCTACCAAGCCCCCACCCCACCGTCCTCCCAGGCTGCAAACAGTTGCCCCTGAACTGTGGGTGCCGATGACCCGCTTCTTTGCTCTCGCTGGCCCTCACCCAGCAGATGATGCCAGCAGGTGGATGCTAGGTGGGCAGAGCCAAAGCTGGACAACGGCAGCCCCTCCACCCCCGGTGCTGGGTCCAGGAGACAGAGCCCCCAGCTCCCTTCCCTGCTTCTGTGGGAACAGCAGGGGGCAGTTCGCCTCCCCCTCCCCCCCCGGAGGAGCAGGACCAGGATTGAGAATCCATTTCGTGACGGCAGGAGGGAAAGTGAGCCAGGCTGTTTGGTAGAGGCCTGTCGCTCTGTGGTCCCCACTTGCTGTCCGGGAGATGCATGTCCAGGGAATCGGCTCACAGAAGCCTTTTCTGGGTGACTGGGGGAAGGGGAGGAACATCATATATCATGGGGGGTGGCTGGAACCCCCTTGACATGGAGCTGTCACCCGATATTGCAGGTAGCTGGGTGGGTGATGAGAAGGACTGAATATCACACACAACAGACAGATGGACACACACACACACACACACACACAAACACACTTCACGGTAACAAAGCCGACGGGTTTATTCCCACACAGGACACCCCAGAGAGTGGGACCCGGGTAGCCTCATGAACTGGGACTGAGCAGATCTGCACACATATCTATCCGGTGACTTCAGGACGTGTTTCTTTTTACTTTTTTTTTAATTAGTGAAAAACCATGAAGTACAGTTGTAGACTTACAAATTTTTGTGCTTGGGTTTCAGTTATACAATTATCGAATACCCATCCCTCTACCAGTGCCCATTCTCCACTACCACTGATCCCAGTATCCCTCCCACCCCCAACCCCCATCTCACCCTGCCTCTGTGGCAGAGCATTCCCTTTTGTTCTCTCTCTCCTTTTGGGTGCTGTGGTTTGCAAAAGAGGCATTGAGTGGCAATCATGTTCGGTCTATAGTCTACTCTCAGCCAGCACACATCTCCAATCCTGGGAGGATCCTCCCAACACCCTTTATTTGGTGCTCCCTTCTCTATCTGAGCTGCCTTTCCCCCTAGTGTGTGCGACTGGCCTCCAAGCCATGAAGTAAACCTCCTGGTACTTATCTCAGCTATTCTTGAGTGTTAGTCTCCTATTCTGTTACGTTATGTTCCCCAGATCAATGCAATCTTTCTATGTCTGTCCCTCTCTTGCTGACTCATTTCACTTAGCATGATACTTTCCATGTAGAACCACTTGTATGTAAATTTCATGACTTCACCTTTTCTAACAGCTACATAGTATTTCATTGTGTAAATGTACCAAAGTTTCTTTGACCAGTCGGGTTTTATCCAGATTCTGGCTATTGTAAAGAGTGCTGCAATGAACAAACAAGTGCAGATGTCACTTCGACTATACTTTTTTGCCTCTCCAGGATATATTCCCAGGAGTGGTATTGCTGGGTCAAATGGGAGCTCAATTTCTAATTTTTTGAGAATTGTCCATATTGTTTTCCAAAAGGGCTGAACCAGTCGGCATTCCCACCAGCAATGCAGGGGGTCCCTTTCTCACCACATCCATGCCAACACCAGTTGCTTTTGTTCTTTTGGATGTGGGCCAGTCTCTGTGGTGTGAAATGATATCTCATTGTTGTTTTGATCTGCATCTCCCTGTTGATTAATGATGTAGAGCATTTTCTCATGTGCCTTTTAGCCATTTGGATTTCTTCTTTGAGAAAGTTTCTGTTCATTTCGTCGCCCCATTTTTTGATGGGGTTGGATGTTTTCTTCTTGTGGAGTTCAACCAGTACTTTGTATATCCTTGATATCAACCCCTTGTCGGATGCGTATTGGGCAAATATCCTTTCCCATTCTGTAGACAGTTTTTGTATTTTGGTCACTGTTTCTTTTGAGGTGCAGAAGCTTCTTAGTTTAAGATAGTTCACAATTGTGCCCCAGAAAATCAACTACCTAGGAATTAGCTTAACTAAGGAAGTAAAGGACCTGAACAAAGAAAACTACAAAACGCTACTTCAGGAAATAAAAGAGGACACGAGGAAATAGAAAGATATCCCCTGGTCATGGATTGAGAGAATTAACATTGTCAAAATGGCAATACTTCCCAAAGCACTGTACAAATTCAATGTGATGCCTATAAGGATACCCATGACGTTCTTCTAAGAAATGGAGCAAACACTCCTGAAATTCATATGGAAGAATAAACCCCCATGAATAGCTAAAGCAATTATTGGGAAAAAGAAAATGGGAGGAATCAACCTCCCTAAATTCAAACTCTATTACAAAGCAGTAATAATTAAAACAGCATGGTACTGGAACAAAGGCAGAGCCGCAGACCAATGGAACAGGGTTGAATATACTGACATCTCCCCCCAAGCATATGATCATCTAATCTTTGATAAGGGAGCAAGAAATGTGAAGTGGAGCAAGGAAAACCTCCTTAACAAATTGTGCTGGCGGCCATCTTTACAGCATTCAGCCGAAGAGAAGGACTACATAGAGGGCGGGATCCACAGATCCCGAAGGAAAAAAAAAAACACGTTCCAAAAAGAGCCGAGATCATCGGGAAGTCCCAGATGGGGTAGGTACCGCATCCCGCCTCCCCCAGATGGAACCCCGGTGACCAGAAGCCTCTACAAGCACAGCTCGAGTATGCGGGAACTAGGACTTTTCCTCAAAACCGCGCGACCGCATAAGCGGCCGCGCGAGATCTCTCTATATACAAAGTGAACCATGGGAAGTAAACCACCCAACGTTTCTCTCTGAAAATCATAGTTAAGTTTGGAGCACGGCCACAGACCCAGAAACACAAGGACTTAATGCATAACCCAGCAGCTTGGAGCAGAAAAGTGAACGGGCTATGCGTTAATCCAGGCCATCATGTCTGTCCGGAGGGGAAAGGGTGTTGCCCCATTTGCCCTCTCTTCTCTGGAAAGAAGGATGGCGGTCGCATGGGGGCCTTGTGGACAGCAGGTATGAGCCGGGGGTGTGGGGGCGACTAAAACATGGGAAGGGGGGCGTTCCGGTCCGTCCTTCACGCCCTACCGAGGCCACCAGTTGCCCCTCACGACCGGCTCTCCAGCACGGCCACAGCCCCAGAAACACAAGGATTTAATGCAGAACCCAGCAGCTTGGAGCAGAAAAGTGAACGGACTATGCGTTAATCCAGGCCATCAAGTCTGCTGGAGGGGAAAGGGTGTTGCCCCATTCGCCCTCTCCTCT